CCCTTTTTTCCTGGGCGATATGTGGGCCAATATTAGTAGTAGTCCTGAAAGTTTGGTGGGTTTGCCACGTCCCCCACATTACTGATTACACATGCATGAGGAAGAGGGACCCGCCAGTTCGTGAAAATAAGAGTTGTGAAAGAAATTCTTAATTTCATCATACCCAGTCAACATCGCTTAAGTTGCCAACTTGCGGGAACGGAACCCGCTACGATTCGAGCTCGATTTATCTGCGGTCCGCGTGTCTCGATGGGAGCGTTTCTCTGGACCTTTTTTTTTACGCATTATTCCTTTAGTATTGGGTTTCTCTTCCAGTAGTGGGTTTTTAGGGCAGGAAAAGGAGGAAGTGTTGAATTCACCATCATTGGGTTCATTGTCGTCTCTTAAGTCATAATTTAGCACCAGGTTCTTGATGCGCTGCTGCTCTTCGCGCTCCGCCTGTTGTTGGGTTTTCATCGCCACGGCAAAACTGGAGTCGGAGGGTAGGTCGATCGTGCGTGTCTATACAAAAATTAAAATTAAATATGGTTAGAAGACTCTGTACCAGAGTCGGGAATGTTTTTTTTTTTTTTTTTTTTTTTTTTTTTTTTTTTTTTTTTAAACGAGCATAGCATAAGGGGATAGATAGGAAATTAAAAAAGACAGACCTGTTGTCGGTTTCCTCGTTTCGTCATTAGGGAAAATGCCATTGTATTCGGCGTATGCTGACTGGATTCGCCGTTCTCTTCCGCACCCGATGACGGATTGTGTGGAGTGCGTCTCATTGGCAGGGGTACATCGAACATTGCCTTGCGCTCGAATTTGCGGGATTGCAAACTTTCGGCCATCATTTTCTCAAACTCCCGCTCAAATTCTGCTTCTGCTTCGGGGTCAAGCTGCTCTTCCTGGCGAGTAACGAAGATTTGTTCCTCTTCAGATTCGGAATCGTGATCCTGATCTGGGCCACGAACGGTCTAAAGCACAGATATTAGATATTTTGCATTTTTGTCACTGCAGGAGAAAACAAATTCTAAGATCCATACCTCCTCGACTTCGTCGCTAGATGAGTTTACGTCATCCTTGTCTTCGTCCGCATCTGGGATTGCATCGTGTTCAAAGCCGTCGTCAGAAGATGAACTCTCTCCATCCGGATCTGGCTCAGGAGCTTTGTCCGCTTCTTGAGTGGACTCCTCTATTTTGTAATTCTGTGCTACGGCTTCACTAAAAAGGCGTGTAGCTTCAGCAAGATCAGTAGCAATCTTCCACTGGGGGCGGGTCAAAGCATAAGTATCCTGAACGAGGAAATCCACATCCATGGGCACTGGATCTTTCGTAAATAGGTAGTACTGTGACTGTGTATTAGCTGTCACGTTCAAAACAAACCTGTCATTTCTAGAGGATATTACCTGAAAAAAGGTCAAGAAGAAATCAAGCTTTTTCTTCGCTGATCCCCGATCGAAACATACTCCGCAAGTGTCAAGGAGAGTGCACACCAATCGGATTCGGAAGAAGTCATCAGGCATATCAAGAAGATTAATCTTCCCTGGAGCCGGAATACCTCCCTCTAATATTCACGTCAGCAATTCGCCTGGCGGGGGTGCTGAGATATGTATGTACGTACCATGCCCGAACGTAACGATTCGATAAAGCGTATCGAAAATGAGCGGTGAGTCGACTATTTTGTAATTGTATAACTCCCCCAGATACTTAACCTCAGCGATCCGTCTCTGGTTGAATTTAAAGTCATTTTGCTCCAACCCTAGAGTAATGTTCTCGAGTATGTTGTCTACAATTCCAATGACAAAATCCTGATGGTATCGGTAGAGGGCACTGACAAGAATTGCTAGGATATGAATATTGCTGTACTTCACCTTCCCAGGCTTGCTAAATATTCGTTCAAGAATATGGACGACCTAGTTTTGTCAATACATTGTCAACAAAAAAATGTTAAAAGTTCACCTTAAATCTCACCTCTTGCTCCTCCCAGTGAAGTTTCCGGATACATTTCAAAATCCTAGGGTAGTTCCGTTTATTCATATCAAGGTAGAGTAGTTTCCTGATATAAAGTTCCATCGGAGTACGCTCCTTTTGCTGGATAGCGGGTCGCTGCGGAGGATCGACGTAGTACATCGCATTCTCAATAATCATGCGCTCTTGCTGGCCAAGATGCTGTGCTGCTTTCTTTCGACCAAGAGTCTCCAGGAAAGATGCCATCCGTGGGGAGGTTTCTGGATTTCGGAGCAGGTATCGACCACAATTCTCCAGCAGATTGCCAATGATCTCAATATTCATCCGAGAGAAGTCGTCGAGACTGACTTTGAAGCAGTGGAAAATGACATGTTCGGGGACAACACCAAATTTGGTCAGTTCAGCTAGATATCGAATATTGCTTGTGCGGACCTGACCTAGAAATTCCTTTTGTTTGCGCCGTTGGAGACTCCGGAATTCTTCGTCAAGATAGCTGATAAGGCCCTGCGGGATATCAGGTAGATACTGGCCAAGGGTAGCAACTAGGCGGGCATAAAGAGGAAGCAGATCAGTGCGGCCCTTGGGTGCCTCCTGGATTGCCTTTACAAGCCTGTTTCGAGACGCTTTCGAGTTGAGAAAGCAGAATTCCAGCGCCAGCTGATCAACCGAATCCTTAGTTTGGAGTTCCGGTAGTTTTGCCAACAACGAATCAACTTGAGCACCAACGGTTTTGTTAACCATAGAGGCAGACTGATCATCAACTTCTTGAGTATTGGCAGCTTCTGAGGCAGACAGGCCCGGTTTCGTGGCATCCCCTTTGCCAAACTGGTCTGCTAGCACACCATTTGTAGCTTCGCCATCAGCCTTCTTTTTTACTTGATCATCTCCATCGGGCTTCTTCTTTTTTCCATCCTCTAGTAGAACAGCTGGGACTTTACCCTTTAGATCTACCAAATTTTCATAAAATCGACGTTCCTCTTCGTCTTCCCAGATTCCAGGGCCTTCACCTTGTCCACGTAAGTATTCTCCGGTCTTTACGAGGCCTATACTGCCACCACCAAGTGTGGAATCACCCGTCTCTTTCTCCATTAGATCTGGCATATCGGACCCGAGAATTTCGCAAAGGGCCTGAGTATTCGAGACGAACTTTTCGTGCGCCTTTGACTGCTTCTCAAAATTAGATTGTCGATCTTCGAATATCTCACCGCTCTTCACATATGCCTCTGCGTTTTTGCGACTTTGTGTTGCCAGGCCTTTTTGATCGCTGACAACATGGGTTTTAACATCCTCCAGATACCGATTAAGGATATTTCTAAACCGGAGCTGAAGCTTCTCAGATGCTAGCGGAGGATCATCTCCCGTTGATTCAGCATTAGGTTCATCATCGCCAGATCCAATCTCCGGCCTATCTTTCATTGGAGATTCCGTAGTCGCGCCATCTGCCTCCACATTCTTCCTGCCTCCCTCCATCCCCTTGCTCCCCAAGATATCCCAGCTATACGTCCTCGCAAACAAAACCGCCAGTGGTAAATTGACATGCTCGCGGTCATGTCCCAAAAGGTCTTTCAGAACCTCCAACGGAAACGGCTCTGCCTCCTTATCCTGATCAGCCTTCGCAGCAGCTTGAGCTGGCTTGGATTTCGCAGCCCCATCAGAAGGAGAAGAACCCTTGCCACCGCCAATAGCACCCGAACCATCATGGCCCTTTGTACCCAGATCATCCGGTCTTTCTACGTCATCCAGGCTTCGCAGAAACCCCACAAGCCATAACTCAGTCACGATACGCAACAGAACCCGTTGCCTGCTCAGCCGCTCCTTCTCCTCCCGCTCACGCACATCTTGCGTCCATGCCTTCAACTGCGCCTTATCCGGTGTTGTCAGGCCGCGACCCAACAGCCATCCCAACTGCTTGGTGAACTCATCGGGACCAAACCGCTGGTGCAGGGCGCTGGCGATTTCCACAGCGGCGGCGATTTCTCCGGGGGTCTTAAGTTTGCAAAATCCTTCGTAGGCAGCGGATATGATCTCGGATAGATACTTGTGCAGTGATAGGGTGCGGATATCGGCAAGGAAAGTAGGGAGGGCGGCAGCGGTAATACCGGTTCGGAGACGTTTGATAAAAGCTGTGTTTTTCTTCAAAGCGGAGTCGAGAGATTTGTTGACCGGGAAGATACCTATATGAACGCAAATATTATTAATCTTTGTTTTAGCCCAAACATTAGATCTTTGTCATACTCTCGGGATCGAGAGATATAATAATAGGACGGGGGTTTGCGGGGGTCTGAGGGTGGCAGTTTGAACATACCCGTCTCCCTGGCCCATGCCCGTGCATTTAGGTTGCGCAGCTCTCCTGCACAACGGATAAAAAAAAAAAAATCAGTATCAACAGTAGAAGAAGATGCGGTTGATTTCTGAATAGTTAACAACGTACTCTTCCTTGCGCGATCCATCTTTCATTTACGCCTCGGTCTATCACAGTTGTTGTTGTTGTTGTTTGCCGCACCGGGGAAGTGGTCAAACCGGATGAGATCCCCTCAAAAGCGCAGAACCACAGATTCCAGGAGGGCTTGACCACCTCATTGGGGTGTGGAGCAAACAGACAGGCAGGTTAAAGCGGGTTAGATTTCTGGATACAAAAAAGAGAGGCGGTGAACGAGTACAGCGAGTTTTGTTGACTCAGAAATGCAAAGCCGTTGAACCTCACAGCTACAGGCGAGGGGCGTTTGTTGTTGGTTGGAGGAAAAAGGAGTTGGGTGACGAAAAGTTGTTGATTTAAATATTTCATTGGCGTCACGAAAGCTGGAGAGAAACTGGGAACAGAACAGATAGGAATATCAGATCAACTATCCGGATGCTTCGAGTGAGGATCTTGCTTTTTATCATACAAAAAAATATTGCGATAAGATAGCACAACTAAGTGGAGAATATATACATTCCTTTTCCCCCTACAGATTACTTTGTCAGATATAAACTTCCTCCGCTTAAGCTGGTTCTCAGAACCAAACCCCCGCCAACACCGCCGCCGATTTCACATTTTATATAGATATTTAACCACGAACAGTGCTGAACGCCACGACAACCCCGCATATTTAACTAACAGTGACCTCCTTATTTCACTATTCCTGGGGATCTGACAGTCCATCCGATGATGTCAATTGGTAGCACAATTTCGCAACAGAAATACCCAGACGCCCTCCCGCATGTGTGTGTCTAGCGAATTGCTGTCTTCATTCAATTCGTTTCATTCATTCACCATCTATCGCAAGACCCAGAGCCTATATCCCCCAAGCTCACAGTCTCATCCATCAAGCCCGTCCCCTTTCCCCTTCCCCTTCCAAAGCCCCTTCCTTGTCCCTCCTTGCCCCCCTCTCAATCTCCGTAAAGCCGCTCTCCCTGTCTTTCTCCAGCCCCGTCAACCGCTGCTGCAACTGGTGCTTCATATCCTGCTCGTTCAAGCTCTGCGTACGATTGACCTTCGGCTGCCATCTTGAGGTGCTCGGAGATGTGGCTGTGGGCGAGTGGTGTTGCTTCGACTCTTGCTCGGGATTCGAAGTGCGGGATGAGGAGCGTATCTTGGTGTTGATGGTGGTGGCGAGAGCATGTTGGGAGTGAGAATCGGGACCGGAGAATTTCGATGTCATTTTGTATTTTGAGGGTGATTCGGGGTTGGTTTTTTGAGAAATTGTTCCCTTTTGCCTCCTTTCCGGCGTGGTGCTCTGCTTTCGTTGTTCCACTCGATAACTAGCGGAAGTAGTCTATTAATAGAGAGCAAGATGGGGAGGGAAGTTTTGTTCCTTTGGTACTTTTGATATTGTACGAAGTTGATCGATATTTACGCAACTTGCCATAAACAATTTCTGTTAAAAACAAAAGAGCACAAGATTAAAAAAGTGTGGAATAAATACAATCATGATTTCGTTCCCCCTTTTACAGCTCGTGGCCCAAGACAAATTCGACCCGAGCCTGGACCTTCTCATGTTTTCCTGTTTTCGCCTCGCCATCCCTTATGTATTTACATCATCTTGTTGCCTGGGGTATCAGGTCCAGGTCTTCATCCACGTTTCCCCCCGCCCCCCCCCGTTTTCCGCCCGTTGATGATCTCATGCGCATTCGTTTCCGCCTGCGCTCGATTTCCCCATCCCTCGTTTTATTCTGCTGTTTTTGAAATCCACTCAATTAAACGACCAGATCTTATAGGGAATACACTAGCAAGTTATCATCCGATTCCTCCCGGAGTCCGTGAAAGGAGCTGATGGGATGGTAGAGTCTAAGGATCTCATTAACTACCCATACGAGCCCTGAGGAGATCAATTTTTAAGCCACAAGTCCGACCCCCTTTTCCAGAGCGGAAACCAACCCATCGAACCCGCAGCACGTGCTTCATGGGAGGTGGAATGCATAACTAGTATCTGTCGATGCTGCTCCCTTCTTTTCTCTCTCTCTTTTTTTTTTTACGATATCCATCAAACAGCCAGCTCACAGGGGTGCCGCCCTTTGCCGCCATCCTAAGACTATATGCACTGCAAGTATACAGGCCATTGTTTGATGATAAGTAGTCATGCTTCGTTATTTTTTAAAAGATATCCTGCAACGGTCCATCCAATTATCTTCTAAACCTCACCCTCACCGGTAAATCGTCTTTAATAGCTCCAATGCCCTCGCCGCACCTGTACGCGCGCTCGCCATTAATAGTGTCCGCAGCCACGCTTGTCGCGTCCCTCTTCTGCACCACATCCCACTGCTCGTAGTTAAAATCAAAGTCCAGCTCACGGAGAGTAAAGACCAACACGAGCTTCATTTCCAACATGGCTAGCTCCTGGCCAATGCACTTGGTGTTTCCCAGCTCGAAGGGCCGCCACGCGTTTTTCACAGGATACAGCGCATGATCCTCCGGAACCAGGAACCGGTCCGGGATAAATTCTGTCGGGTGAGGCCAGAAATCTGGGTGAATGTGAGTCATTGTCGGGGCTGTCTGGATCATACAATCGTAGGTGGGGTACAGCATGCCGTCAAGAGAGAAGTTGAAGTCCGGGCTGCCCTGTCGGAATGTATTAGCCAGGGTATGGATTCGGAGCGTTTCCTTGATGACTGCGGCCGTGTAGCGTAGTTCGTTTACTTTGTGTGGGCCCTGCTGCAAGACCTGATATGCCATCTTTGGGTCAGGGCCTAGTACGTCATCGTGCTCTTTGCGCAGCCTTTGCAGGATGTCGGGATTTTTGTTAATTTCGTAGAATATCCAGCAACTAAGATCGTAGTTAGAAGTCAAGTTCTTTCTAGATGCCTGCTGTTTGCGTTTGGAGGTGAGAAATTTCGGACTCGATGGGAAAAAGATATCTAAATAAACTAACATAGTTTGAGCAGTGGTGTCATGACCAGCAAACAAGAACGCTTTCAGATTGCTGATGAGGATGTTGATAAACTCGGGTGTTGGCTGCTGCCCACTTTTTTTGAAGTCTTTGATAGCAAGGTCGATAACGGTTTTCTGATTCTTCGAGTCGAGAGTGTCGCTAAAGCGCGACCGAATCTGCGGCAACAGGATATCTCGCATAGTCGCTGCATTTTGCGATACAAAGCTCTTAAACTCCGGAGTAAGCCGTTCCAGCCTGGTCTTGACATTCTTTAATTTAACACGAGAAATCAAATTTCTCAAAGCATTAAGCAAGGGTCCAGGACCAGCTGTTTGCTCATGGGGATGAAGGTCACTGTGAATCCCTGATTCATTAGTATAGCCAGCGAGACAGAAGAGGGAGCCCTCGCCTCCCCAGAGGAAAATGCTCAATCGTAATGGCCTACAGTGCAAATCTTGAGACAACGTCAAATGTCAGAGAAACCGCTCCCTCATAGAGAGTAAACATTTTGCCCCATTCATGACTTCCCGCATCCGCAGTGTCTTTCAATTTCTGCGCATATATGGAAACCTCCTCCAGGGCGGCGGGCATGTTTTGGATGATGTTCCGAGACGAAAATCCCGGGTTCAACCGAGAGCGCCATACTTTATGATCAGGCATGTTCATGGATATCAAATCGATGCCACCCGTCACTGGGGTCAGCGCCCATCCGAATATAGGGTGTCTCTGTTGCGGTGTTTCTTGCGTAAGTTGGGAGCAGAGCTCAGGGTCGATAACCATGATGATGGGCTGAGCCATGAAAGGCCACACATCCATATAGATCAATGGTGGACATTTTTCCGCACCAGGGAAGTATTTCTGCCAGTTTTGCACGATCTTGATCGACGTGTACACGCGATGAGCGTCTTGTGGCAATCCTTCCTTCAAGCTCCTTAACAATGGGAGATGGCCAAGGAACGGTGAATAAGGCTCGATGATGGGCTGTTCGGGACGTCAGTCTCTGCTCCAGTCTTGGGCATTTAAACGTGGCGCCCTGTTTGGAGAAGACACCCAAGCGGAAAATCCACACTTACAAGCCCGCTGGCCTTCATTGTGTAGAACCTGCGCCGGGCCGCGATCCCCCGCGCTAGGAAATGCACCAGCAATGCTGTGATCACCGCAAGCCCAGTTGCAGCCACGAGCTTGGGCGTCCCATACGCGATAGCCATGTCGGTCACCAATCGCTGTTTTTGAATTTTGCGGAGATTATATGGCGATTCAAGTAGGAGAGTCGCGGAGTCTCACATTTTCATCCCGTCTTTGATGAACTTGGGACTCGGCTTTCCTTGAGCTGCCACACGGGTTAAATAAATACCAGTATGGACCGGGGAAGGGACTCAGCTTTTTCACATCATGACCACGCTTCGGTGACTTTCAGCCGCTAAACTTGCCCCTTGGAAAACCCTTCTTCCTTACTCCGTACTCTGTATTTAGAATAGATGAAGAAAAATTGTGCATAAATAAAACGAAATAACTAACAAGCCACTTTGAGCAGAATGCGGTAAAAAACGGCGTGGGATGCATTTCAAAGAAGGTTTACCTAGGTCATCTAACTAGCTAACTATATAATTACCGACCAGAATCCCATCGGTTAGATACTTAGACAGCCTATCTCCTCCCTTATATATAAATCCTTGACCTTTTAATCAATACATATCTCAGTCTCAAAAGAGAGTATATGATATTTCAGATTTGACTTAAATAATAAATTTTCATTTAGAGGTCCTCCACTATCCTTTATTCAATTCAAGGTTTTTTTTTTTTTTTACTTTTTCTCTTTCGTCCTTCCTATTTATTATCTACTAAGGCATTTTCGAATACCTACTGGGAAGAATTTCTGCGGCGAGTTTTCGCCAACTCTACATACCTATGATAGCTTTATCTTGGCTGGGTCGACTATGATGCTCCCCCTTCGTTCCAAACGGAGTCAATGCGAGAAGCTAGATATCTATCTAGATAACAAGCGATAGATACAGGCCACCCAGTCCCCTATGGACCATCTGAGCATTGAATCTAACATCTATGATGAGCTGAGGAACTGGCGTATTGCTCCGAAAAATATACTAGGAGTCAACAGTTCAACAAAAAAGAATGCAACAAAAAAGAATGCAGGTGTATGGACAAACGGCTTCCAACCCAGGTATTTAAATATACATAGCCGCCCTTCTCTCTCTCTCTCTCAAAAAAAAAAAAAAAAAAAAAAAAAAAAAAAAAAAATGCAAAAAAAAAGATGCAGCAAAAAGGAGAAAACATGATATAAAACGGAAGGTCAGCCAATCAAAGCCCTCAGCTTCGTCAACATCTTCAAACCTTTTCCAGCCAACATGCCCCAAATCCCCAATAACCCGATCATCGTCACCACCCAAGTCCGATTCGTAAACAGAGACTCCTCCCTCACGCGTCCCAAATACTTCTGCTTCTGCTTCACCGCCAGCTGCTGCGCACCATACCCATCCAGTATGAAGTCCGCCCAGCGAACCCTAGACAGTAGCTTCTAATACTGCACCACAGTCCCGGACCAATTATTCGTAACCCGGCCGTCCGCGCGCTTATACCAGCTGCGGCAATTCGGATGCGCAAACGAAGTTGTCCCAAGGACACTCTGCAGCTTGTCGTTAAACGACTCCATACGCTTGGGATCCGGTAAGATCTTCAGCGACTCGCCCACCTGGCGTGCCTGGAGTACTGCGCTGATCATCGCCTGGATATACTTCGCCTGCGCCTCGATCATGAGGATGATAGAGTTGTGGCCCAGGTTCGTGTTGGGGCCGTAGAGCATGCCGAAGTTGGGGAGGGATTCGGCGGCGATGCCGTACAGCGCGCGTGCGCCGCCGGACCAGATATCCGAGAGTGCTCGGCCGTTGATGCCGTAGACTTGAATCGGGTGCATGAATTCGACGGTGCGGAAACCCGTGGCCAGCACGATGACGTCGAATTCGTGCGCGGCGCCGTCGACGTTTATGCCGTTTTCGGTTATTTCGGTGATGGGCCTTGTTTCAAGGGTAACGTTGTCGCGCAAGAAAGTTGGAAAGTAATCGTCGCTAATGATGACGCGCTTGCAGCCCATGGGATAATCGGGGATTAGTTTCTCCCACAGCTCCGGACGGTTGGGGAACTGTTTCTTCATCAATGAGAGGCTGATTGTGCGGGCGCGTACCGCGTATTCAGAGTTCTGGTCTGCAATGACGTCGTGAGAAGACTCTCGCATGTCCATCATCCAACTACGTAGTTTCCAAAGGGAAGGCGGGAAGTATTGGAATAATGTCCTAACAAGTTTAGGGATGCCAGTGTCTAATCTGGGTATCACCTAGTTAGGTGTTCTTTGAAACACAGTCAGTTGAGCGACATCAGGAGCTATTACGGGGATTATCTGAGCAGCCGTAGCTCCTACAGAAACGGTCATTAGCAACATGGACGCAGAAGACGAGAAACCCGAAGGCAAGATACTGGAGACCTTACCGTTCCCTACAATGCCAACACGCTTTCCCTTGATATCATAGGTCCAATCCCACCGAGCAGAATGAATGATCCTGCCCTGGAAATCTTCTATTCCTGGAATTGACGGGCAGGAGGGCGAATTGAGTTGGCCAACGGCAGACACGAGGAAATCGGATGTGAGGTGAGCGTATATTGATCTGCAAATTCCGCGTCTTTCGATTCCCCTGCTACCTTGACCACCATCCGCCATTTACGGACGTCATCGTCCCATCTTGCTTCGACGGTGGAATTGAATCCAATATAACGAAACAGCTTGTACTTCTCGGCTACATCATGAAGGTACATCTGTGATAGCTTTGGTTAGAGCCGATGAAAAAGAAGAAAGGAAAAGAAAAAAAGAAAAAAGAAAAACGAAACCAAAAGTTAAAAGCAAGCAAAAGGAGCAAGCCTCGTACTAGAATCTCCTCCTGACTAGGGTAGAGTCTTGACCAGCTCGGGTTCTGTTCGAAAGAGTAGCTATAAAGATGAGAATTGACTGTTGGATATTAGCACGGAATATCCCTCATCGAACGAGAGCCGGAAGGGTTGTCCGTCGGAAAGAAGGACATACTATCACAACAGCAGCCTGGGTATTTGTTATCGCGCCAAGTTCCACCAAGTCCTCCGCTCTTTTCAACAATTACGAAGTTGCGGATATCGTTCTTCAACAAACTGATGGCCATGCACATTCCTATGCAACCCTGTTGCCTTTGCAATCGAATACCCCATATACGCGGACAGGGGTGCCTTACCAGACATTCCAGCGCCAATGATTGCCACAGCGGCCTCCGTATAGTTCCTGTTGCCCACCTCCACTTGGCGATAGCGTTTGTTCGATACCATGGCTATTTTACGCCAATACACACGGAAAGAAGGATGGTATAATGAAAGGGACAAAGGGAAAGGGGCTTCAAATATCCCTGGCGCAAGCGAGTATATTTTTTTGAAAATATTTCAACACGGAGGAGAAAAGAGGTTTCAACAGCGAAAATCAAGAACTGATTTGAGAATATGTCGAAGGTGACACAGCAAGTTATTAAGTTATAAAGAAACAAAGCCAAGAATGAATCCCCGTTATTCCACGGGCGTAATCGAAACGAGCCCATCGTTTCAAAGTCTGAGTAGAAGTCCTCTCCAAGATTAATCTAATCGTGTACAGTGAGGAACCTTCTATTCAAACGAGGGAGAGGAGAGGGGGGGGGGGGGATGGATTACCAGCAGCCTCGGATGCTGGCTCGCTGCTGGCTCATTATGCTATTTCTGGCCCGAGCCAGGGTTGAAATGGCTGCGGGGAGCTCATATTGATCCCAGCATATTTGACGACTGTAAGCATATCTGGCAGGACGCCATTTGGCTGGCCTCCTGGGCTTAAGCGTCAGTGATTCAATCATCACGATCAACAAACTCGCAAACGCCCTGTGCGCCGTTCACAAGTCCATGCTCCATGCCCGTGTAAGAACATTCGCCAGGCAGCGATCTCGATGGGAACCGGGTTGATATGTATGGCATGGCAGAGCATGGCAGACATCTCCATGCTCTGCTCGACCCACCAGTGGTGGAATCCGGGGCCTGATATAATGATAATAGAGTTTCGTATCCGATCGAGCGGGGAGCGAGCCCGAGCCGAGGGAGCAATTCCCACGGATTATAAGAAGCCGCGCGATCCAACGCGAAGAAACGGGCAACGAGGATGGATTCACAAATCTGGACAAAGTCACAACATCTTTCATGGGCGAACTTGGATACTTGTGCCACCGTACTACCTTTAGTATGGGAAGTTATTTATTGTGTTTGTCTTGATTGTCCTTAGATAATCAGATGCATTTGTAGCACTCTGCTCTTCAGAACATCTCAGCCGCGCACTTCGCCTTGAGGCCTCGAGCTACCTAAGTACTTGTAACTTCATCGGGGATGGGAGGGAGAAGCTGAGTAAAGCGCGGGGAGGGAGGGGAAAAAAGAAAAAATTAACAAGAAAAGCAAAGAGAAGAAACGCTGAAAACGTAAGTGCTACATACTGTAAATACATACATATATCATCTATCAAAATTCCCCAACCCGATGCGGCAGCCCGCCAGGAGTAAGGTTGGGAGAAGGACTGATAGATATTTATCGGGAGGGCCATAGTTTGGAGGTAATCATGGTGGATTAATAATGAGTATATGAGCTCAGCACAGATACTTCGCGGCACTGGGAAACAATACCAGATCAGGACAAAGGGGGTTGTTGTTAAAAAAAAAAAAAAAAAAAAAAAAGCAATTGAAACGGAAAGAAAAGCCCTCAACAAAAACAACAGGGAAAAGGCGAAAGCAAGAAGAACAAAGGGGGAAGGGATATATATAAAATAGTGGATAGAAGACCCTAACAACGCTATGCTAATGCTAAAAAATGATGTGAGAAGAATAATTTTGAAGGATTAAAATTACTTCTCTTGGTACTTTTTGGGGTCTCCTTCGTTTTAAAAGAAGATTAAGAAATTAAGAAATTAAGATATGAAATTGGTTTCTTTTTAAGGGCAGCGGAAATAACCTTAACATAAGTGCATTTCGAAGGGGGTAGTCGTACAGTCGGGTCAGTGATTCATGAAAATCCAGACAGTTCAGAGTATTCGATTCAAATCGCTCTAAAAAAAACCATTGAGTTATCTCGTTCGCGCGGTTTTCGCTATTTGGGTTTTCGCCAGTAATATCGCTGTTGCGTTGTTGAGTTAACCATTCAACTTTAGCAAAATAAAAAAGGGAAGCAAAAGAAAAGAGCAAAGAAAAATCAAAACAATGGGTAGGGGAAGTGGCTCGAACCTTGTGTTGTTTTCTGCAACTCCGCAGGCCAGGTTTCATCAAGTCGTTAACTACAGCCTCCTTTCTCTTTTCATCCTCGTCGAGATCAGGTATGTAGTAATACTCGCTTTCCAAGGGTTTGCCTGCGGCATCTTTACCCTCCCTGCTCACTTCGCCGATGCAAGCAATTGTGCCGATGATGGATTTGATCTCTAAGCTAGAAAACCCGCCATCACCTGAAGGGGTCTTCTTCCATAGCTCGGGTGGGAGGTGGCTGATAATCGTCGAGAGTGGAGTCGATGACAATCGAGAAAACGCCAGCTGGTTTACGACGTGGTTCTGCACGTTCTGCTTGAGAGAGTGCTGGTCATCTTCCGTTTTAACGGGTTTACTTGCGGCAGTGTGCTGGCGTGGTGAAACAGCCGGTTTGCGTATGTTGACGGGAGATCGAACTGGAGACATTCCTGTGTTGAATGAAGCCATGCGGGGAAGAATATTATCCCCAAAGGGTCCAAAGGAGTGGATGATCGGGTCGTTTTCCTCGTCGTGGTCTGATAGCTCTTCAGCCTTATCGTCACAAGAGCTAGACATGGAATTTCGGAGATTCTCATTGTGGAAAGGACTCGAAACTACTTCCGTAAGCTGAGAGGTCGACTTCGAGTCCTTTTGACGAGTGGGAGAAGGCTCATCCTCATACACGACCACGGCACTATGCACTGAGCGGCTGGGAGTCAACAGAGGCGGTTCAGGAGATTGAAGGGCCTGAACAGCAGGAGACGGAGATATTGGGGAAGCAAGTCGTCCACGGCTTCGTAGAGGGCTGGCTTGAAGTGGGTGTGAAGTAGTACCAGGTTTTCTCACGGGGGAACTCTCTTCCCAGGTTTGGTCGGAGGTACTCGTCGAAGCAGAGTCTTTTGGCTCGTGTCTGGGCCACTGGACCAATACTCGAGCATCTTGGACGTCGATCATCACATCCGCGTCTTTGATATCGGACGTGAAAGTTTTGCCCTTGTTCAATTCATAAGTTTTTCCTTGGCAATGTAGTTTAATCCCATTCCAACCAGTGCAAAGAATCTCGATCCTATCTCTATCAAACGGGTTTGTCGAAGGTTTATACGTGGCCTGGACATGAATCCGCGATATCAATCGGCTGGCTGACAGTTGGAAATGGCAAGAACCGCTTGATCTACCCATTAGAATAGACTCCCCCGACGGTGGTAGCATTATCGAAGGCACAGTAGACAACGGAGCTCTTTCAGATGCCACAGAGAGGGTTCGTTTAAGTCCTGGGCGGACTGCCTGTCTGCGAGGAGGGGAGGAAGTCAATATTGCCGTTGACGAGGTTGGGACTGGGGTTGGATATGTCGAAACATCATCACCGGATTCGCGTGCCAAGCGTTTATAAGGTCGAGGCAGAGATGGGGAAGACGAGGGCTCGAAGGCTGGGAGAAGAGAGGCAGGCCTCTTCACGCCAGCGATGGGAGGCGGCAGGGTGTCTGCTCTAGGCGGAGAGGACTCCAACTCCATTCTTCCCAGAGATTAAGAACCAGAACACGTATATGATCGAGCAATTTATCTCTTCTAGATCTTTAGACACTGGATGAATCGCGTCGAATTCCACCAATGACCCGTGGAATGGGATATATAAAAAGAGGCCCACGTTTGAAGTACTCTTATGTAGCAGCAAATGGAAAAAGCTCAAACCAAAGAAGGAAATACAAAAACAAAAAGAAAACAAGGACAGGAGAATACAAAATCAAAGAAAAAAAGAAAAACGGGAAACACACGAATCTCTCGAGGAGATGGGGGAGAGAGGAAAGGATTGAAGGAATAGACGAGGCGGTGGTGCGGTGGGAAAGGGAAGATGAGAGAGGAAGTGAGCCGACGCCAGGGCGAGGAACACACGCTTGGCCGACTCTACGCGTGTCAACAGCTCCACCGGCCAGGGCTCGCGATGCGCGGCTACGACGGACACGGAACAAGAACGGGCAGCAAACGGAGTGCTATGGCTGCAAGGAGCGGGAGCAGCCCAAAGTATAAGTATATAAGTATATCAGCCAGTCTCTCTTCTCGATCCCTGGATCCACGCAGTATCTCAAACCCTCTTGCGTCCCAATCGTGTCGTTTGATAAATTATTTAGTTTTCAAACTAAACAAACCTGGTCCACCCTGGCTGAGTCATCAACGCGTCTGCTCTCAATCACGTGAAAGTTAGGGTTTCCAATACCGACTATTCCCGAACAGGAAATCACAACTCCTTTTTGTTGGGGGAGTGGATTGGGCGATTCGTACTCTCTATATACCACCACGGCGCTGGAGCTCTTTTGCCCTAGTGGCCTAATACCTTTCCCTGTAAGAAGATGGTTGATTGTTGTAGAAACTATCTAAGCGAGAGAAACACAATATGGTTGGGGCAGTGATACGATCGGGATCTGATAAGAACCTTCCATGAACCAAACAATAAAAATTCAAAATTCAAAATTCAAAATTCAAATATAGCCACCAAATTGGCGGAAACACGGAGGTGTGAAGCGGCACATTGGGCATTGCAACACACAGTACGCAAGCAATACAGACAGAAATCTCAATGCTGGAGCTCAAATAAATCCACTCCTCACAGCATGAGTAGCCCTGTGGCTTTGATCCCCTAAGCTGCCCCACTTGTTTGGGGGCTTGTTAGCGGGCTTGTAAATTTCTGGTGCGTATTTGCAAGGACTTCACCCTTGTTCCACACCTCCGTAGTGGGGATGGAAAAGTAGCTAGTTAATACTTAATAAGATGTGCACTTGCTCTGTTCATCTTTCTCATGGTCAACGTCTCACGGCTCTTTATGAATACTATTACCCATTATTTTTATATCCATACGGCCGCTGCGAGGGAGTACTAGTACTCCATTTGGAGACTTCATTTTTCAAACTACGATCTATGTTAATGGCAGAAGCCACCGCCACCAGCCCCGCGGCGGAGGGAGCTGCGCATAAAAATGGTGCGGATCTGTCTATCCACAAAAATACAACACTCCCCCCTTCCCCGGCCCCCCTCTTCCCCATATGTGCACCCTCTATTGACAGATTTGCTGCAGTATGGACTACTCTAATCACCAACTGTGACTACCTCCCGGGCCTCCTCACCCTGGACTACTCCCTGAAAAAGGTCGGCTCCAGATACCCCCTTGTGGCGCTTTACACGGACTCCTTCCCACCAGAGGGACATGCGGCACTTCAGGCCAGAAACATCCCGGCCAAACATATCCCCTATCTCCTCCCCGCAGCCCACAAGGACTACAGCAATGACACCCGTTTCTACGACTGCTGGAGCAAGCTGGCCCCCTTCTCGCTCGTGGAATACGACCGAGTCGTCCAGCTGGACAGCGACATGCTGGTGTTTCGCAACATGGACGAGCTGATGGAGCTGGAACTGGACAGCTCCGCGCTGAAGGGGGAGGGCTCCCGCGTTTTCGCCGCGAGCCATGCGTGCGTGTGCAATCCGCTGAAGAAACCGCACTATCCTAAAGACTGGTTCGCTGCCCCCCTCCCCCTCCCCCTCTCTTCTGACCCTTCCTCTTCCCCTCTCCCCCCCCCCCCACAACACATAACACACATATGCACGCACATGCATGTATGACACCCACCGTAGCGGTCCTGACAAAACCTCCAACAGGACCCCATCCAACTGCGCCCTGACAACCCAGCACGCAGACCCCGCCAGCGCGCAAACGCAAGGAGCCCCCGCAACCGCCGGCCTGGGCGTGCTCAACGGCGGCCTCCAGGTCGTCAACCCCTCCACCGCCATCTACGAGAAGATCCTCGCTGTCCTGCAGACGCCGTCCGCGACGTCCAACTACGCCTTCGCCGACCAGTCGCTGCTCTCTGACCTGTTCCCGGGCCTCTGGGTGCCGTTGCCGTATGTTTATAATGCTCTGAAGACGCTGCGGTGGGAAGGCGTGCATAGCGAGATTTGGCGGGATGAGGAGGTGAAGAATGTGCATTATATTCTGAGTCCGAAGCCGTGGGATGAGAAGGGCGGGGAGGAGGGGCAGGGAGATGAGACGCATCGTTGGTGGTGGAAGGTTAATAATGAGAGGTTGGAGGAGGAGAAAAAGAGAGGGATAATATAAAGGCGGATGGGTATCAGCGGGTGGTGGTCCATTTTTATTTTTATTTATTTTTGGATATCTGTGCTTTCCTCTTGAGAGTTTTTTTTTTTTTTTTTTTTTTTTTTTTTGGGCTATATATCTCCGATCCATTTTATCTTTATCGTTATCCATGTCCCGCGCTACCTTGAATTTAGAGATACCCTTACGACTTTATACCCCTCTATTTTTGATATCTCGGTTTCTGATAGATGTAATCGAAATGGGTTGAATGAAAAATTACGTTGGGGCCCCATTTTCCATACATATTCCAATTTCGAACACACCGCAGACTCCTATATTTCCCAATAGATAGATAAAATCTATTTTTCCTGATTCGCCCAATTACCAAAAAAAAAAAAAAAAAAAAGGGGGGGGGGGGGGGGGGGGGGGGGGTTCCGCCTGCTATGATAAACCGTTTCTGTGGATTCTGGGTGGCACGTGACGACCTCACCACCGCGTCTACCTCTAACTTGGCCTACTTGATGATGCACTCGTGAGGCGGACAAAGTGCGCTTGGTGACAATCGGGGCTAGCTTATGTGCTAGTCTGCGCGCTAAGACCATGGATTCTAATGTTACTACCATGATCATGAATGAGGACTGCCTGTCCAGGATAGCGTGCCGACGCAACTCCACATTCTA